CTTTAGTTTTGAGTCAACTCCACTCACCTTGTTGTGCTCAACCTTGTACTGGCACCCTGACGAGATAAAGGAAACACCTTAATAGGTCTCTTTGAACAGCTGATCTTTTTTGTCTGGGGACATGACGAATTACCAGCGTGTACTTCTGCTGCTGCTTTGTTCTTGAGTAAATTTAACCAACAACAAACAGAGAGAAAAATTGGGCTTCCCTCAACATTAAAAGCTGCCGTTGGTAAAGGCCAAATTATGCCATTGGTTCTGTAACTCCCAATGCCTTCAAGGCGGGTCACGCGCATGTAACTGAAGGGTGAATTTAGCCTCGAGACTTTGTTCATGCTAAACTGAGATCAGTTAAACTGACCATATATAACTGCTTGTTTTCTTAGCTGCATTTTTTTTTATTACTTACAAGGGTGGCCAGAAACTTGAAAGAACAGAGTCAATTTTTTCCAGACTAAGACATGAACTCAAAACCTTTCCGTGGGATTCAGTGCAGGTAAGGAGTATACACCAGATAGACCTTCTAAATTGAGATGTTTTACCATCTCATTCTACAAGATTCCTAAAAGGGAAACGAGCCTTTTCCAGATTAGACCATTGTACTGATCCCCTCTAACCAGTCAAATGGGAATAGATACAGCCATTTCTGAAAGTACTAAATTTGCCTAGTCCAGCACTAACAAGGATGATTGAACCTTTGCTTCTCCTGATCTTGGGTTATACAATTCAGCGAGCAGGTTTGGAACAGTGCATGAACCAAGACCCAGTCCTGCTGTAGATACGGCCTTTATGCCCATGGAACAGAGGTGGGCAAACTATGGCCTGCAGGCCACATCCAGTCTACGGGACCGTCCTGCCCAGCCCTTGTTTGGGGAGGCACAGACTTCCCTATCTGGCCCTTCATACAGTTTCGCAACCCTGCTGTGGCCCTCGGGCCAAAAAGTTTGCCCACCCCTGCCATGGAATGTAACACTTCACAATTCCAAAAAAATTCCAATTTTATCCTCTCAGATCTCCTGCGAGGTCGGGAAGGGTTGTTACCCACCCTGGAGATGAAGAATCTCCTCAGAAAGATTGCCTCAGACAGCACAGGAATCACATGGCAGACAGGGTGACTGAATCCAGCTCTCCCAAATCCCACTTAATACTTTAATCACAGGAGAAGACCTTCCTTCCTCTGATATCAAAACTGCCATGCCAGCATAGACCAATTGTTTATCTAGGTTGGTATCCTGGGTTTAGGATGTTTCAGAGGAAAGTCACAAGGAAAAACAGGCAGTTTGGATTGAATCAAGTCAGAAGCACAGAGGATGGGAGGGAGCAAGAGAGAAATTTGAAATAGCTAGGAAAGCTTGAGAAAAGACATTTGAGTAATGACAGCAAGTTTAAAAATTAAATGAAACTAAAGTCCTCAGAGCTGACTGCCATCATGTTAAAGCCTCAGAAGATTCAGCTAAGAGCTTTCTGTCCTGGATAAATTTCAGTTATAATTTACCGACCTAAAATTTTCACTGCATACAGGTATTAGCCAGTCTTCCATGATGAACTGGCCTGTTAATTGCAGGATGCTCTTAAATTACTGCTATTTTCCATACCACTGGGCTGTTTCTCTGGTGAGTGAAGAGATTTCCAGATCTATTTTACGAAGATAGTGAAATCTTTGCAAGAAAAGTGCTATAACAATGTCTATTGCCATTATTAATGCTTGAATAACTGTCCTTATGAAGAGATGAAATAAAGCTTTTCTATCAGTTAATGAAAATTTAAAGAGTACCTGTTTTTTAAAAAAAGGGGTTAAGCAGCTTGCAGGCAAAATGACCCAGATTCAACCTTTAGAATGGCCCTGATTACCATTTACATACTTTTCTAACATGTCTCTATGTTCGAAAAGTATGAACTTTGAAATGTAAACAGGTATTGTTAAAGAACTGAAAGAAGACAGTGATTGTAGTAGTTTGTTTACCTATAGCTTGTTAGAGGTTAACAGTATAACCAAACAGTTCCTGTCAATTCAGAGATCAAAAGGAAATATTAACATTTAGATGAAACTTGTGTGTAATAACTTCAATGTCTCTATGTCTCTTTAAAGTTAAACAGATAAATTACCTTATATTAAGCCATATAGTTAATGTTTGAGAAACAGGTTATTTCCAAGGACTCTGTGCTGAACTGTATAAAGGACTCTTGGGACCTGATCCTTTCATCTCACATCTGCTTGAACTTTATTCGGGGGAAGTTGGAGATATCAGTCTTAGGACTCAAATTTAATTTGGATCACCCTGGTATAGAACATTGAACTGAACCTATTGACTAATTCTAAGAACTCTTTGCAACTCCAAAGCTCACTGTCTCTATTATGACACTGATTCAGAACTGTACTCATGTCTGTATGCATAATCTTTTAACCAATACTCTCTTTTTTCTAATAAATTTTAGTTTAGTTAGTAAGAATTGGCTGTAGCATGTATTTGGGTAAGGTCTGGAATATTCATTAGCCTGGGTGGTAATGTGTCTGATACTTTGGGACTGCTAGAACTTTCATATTTGACTTGACTGTCTGGGAGGGAACCTAAAGGCTGGGTTGCAGCTTCTGTGTAACCAGTAAGATATGGTGGAAGCAGCTTTGGGAATTGTCTGCCACATTCTTTGCAGTTTCCCTAATTGTATAACCTCAGTGTGCCCCCCTGCAACTCCAGTCACAGGTTGTTTTGAGAAACGTGTACCTTTGGCTCTAATCAGGATGATCGGGGAGCGGCCCAATAATGTCCAAATGATTTCACTCACCTCTCAATTTCAATATTGTATGTAGCATAGTATGACTTTAATGATAGTTATGAGCACTCAGCACCAGGTACTTTCAGGTTGTGAAAGCTTTGCCAGTGCAGAGGGCAGGACAGTTTACACTGTGAATTCTGCAGCAGAAGTCGTTGTAGCTACAAGATAATTAAATTGCTTACCCAGGCATGGCTTAAGACTTTAAAGGGCACGAGACTGTGGTATCAAAAGTGCTACTAACTTTTCCTGTTATGATTTCAATATAAAATAGGTTTTGTTAGGGTATACTGGAATTACTTACTTGATTCAACAGTGTTTTTCACAATTTACATAGCTGCTGTTATGGAAAAAGCAGGCCAACATTCCCTGAAATTATGTCTTTAAAAAGCAGTTACACCAGTAGTTAATTGTGGCAGGAATAAAGACTCACAGAAACAGTTTAACATAGTTTTATTTTAAGTATAATAGTACACTATTTACAAAGTTATGTTAATAAATAACACTTGGGTAAAGACTGCAGAAATCCAAAATGCCAAATCATGAAAATCTGGTTTATATATATACACACACACACAAATCAGTAATTTAAACAACTTTGGTTTTTACTGGCGGGAAGGTAGTATTAAGTGACTTTAAGAAATTAACTAACCCACTTTTAACTGGTGCCCAAGAGAAACCCAAAGCAGAGCCTTTGCATACAGCAGTATGATTAACAGACAAGTACTGGGTACTGAATTTTTTGGGTAATATTTTATTAAAGGAATTTGACTTCACAACAGTGGCTGCTAAATTCCAGTTTGCTGGCAATTGATTATAAAGCTATATTAAGAGTAAGGCAAAACAGAATTTCAAAGCCTGCTACTTCGTGGAGCTGCTATAAACTACTAGAGGGTATCAGTAACTAGAGGTGTGTAGATGAGGAGCCCCATGCATAAATGCTAGGGAAGTTCTGGATTGCCTCTTATTACTGATTCATACTATCTCCCACACCTTACTTGGGCTATTTTGATCAGTCCTTTGGTTAAGTCTCCCCCATTAATCTATATGGATTTCAACTCTCTAGGAATACCCTTGTTGAGATACCACATTCCAAAACCATACATCTTTAAAAAAATAAAGCAATACTAATTAGGTCCTTACAAAGCAGACAGGTTTCAGAGTAACAGCCGTGTTAGTCTGTATTCGCAAAAATAAAGGAGTACTTGTGGCACCTTAGAGACTAACCCATTTATTTGAGCATCAGCTTTCGTGAGCTACAGCTCACTTCATCCAATGAAGTGAGCTGTAGCTCACGAAAGCTGATGCTCAAATAAATGGGTTAGTCTCTAAGGTGCCACAAGTACTCCTTTTCTTTTTACAAAGCAGATACAAACTTATGGTCCTCAACATTTACACATCTGAATATCCCATTGTCTTCTGTAAGAGGGCAGCTTGGGTTAGCTGAGGCGCTCAGCCCTGCAGTCCTCACATGGGGCCTAATCATGTGAGTGTAGGCTGTAGGCTCAGACCCCTCCCCCTCCCCCAAGTTAATTCCAAGGTTCCTATATCAACCTGCATCATGGCCCTGGCTGTCTAAAGGAGAACATTGCTTTCTTACTAGTTACAGTGGGTGAACCCTCAAAGTACAGCTGTTAAAAGCACAGACAAGGCCTCACAGACTACACAAGCATGAAGAAATTATTCTAATTAGATTTTAATAAATTTTTATATGTAAAACTTCAATACACGCAGCACCTGCATTTACTTATTCCCTGTTTGAAAAAGCCTGAGACTGGTTTCAGTATGACAGACTGAATTTGGCTGAGGGGTAAGTAATTTTTAATCAAGACTACAAAGAGGCAAAAAGCCCAGACTAAAATATCAGTAATCAAAGCACACCACACAACTACCATATATACAAGGAGCCTATTTAGTATGGGGGGGGGGGGAAGAGGGGGGATGGGACGGGCCATGGGTAACCATTAAAAAAAGCATGAGAATCAAGGTTTTGTTTATGCAGTTTTTTTCAATGTGGTAAGTGCCTCTGTTTTCGATAATACATACATTGAAAGTGGAAAGAGGAACATTTGTACAACATCCACTTCCTTTTCATACCATTTAGGCATTAACATATTTTGCCCATGCAAACACAAAACCCCACCAATCTAAATGTAATTACAACTTATATCATATTTAACTTCATAGTAGTGACAGTGGATTTTTTTTTTAATATTTGAGGGGAGAGAGGGTGAGTCAGGAGAGAACAGTGTGGCATGTTTTATGCAATACCAATTTGTTTAAGTTATCACAAAGGCCTGTTCCAGTAGCACAGTGCTAGTATCATTTGGTCACGGACCTAGCCCAGTTTCCAAGCGATGACTGATGTTTTTTGAAAAGGGTACCACTACTAGTGACACTATAACGAAATTGTGTGGTCGATAAACAGTGCTTTTTTATGCTCTCACTCACAACCTTCTCCAGGAAAAAACCTCTCTCTCTTGAATGGAACTACCGCAGCTGTGACTATAAAATTACATGTAAATCATTTTAGCATTTTTTTTTCCAAACGTGCAAAACAGCTAAGTTCCTGATTTTCTTCTCTTTGACTAGCGCACCATCAAAGGCCACAGTGTATAAACAAATGTATTTCTTTTCACCATCTCTGTAGCAGATTCTATCACTCTCACCAGTTAGTTACCCTGGAAAATTACAAAACAAAACTATTATTCAAGAATGTTTTGATTAACATCACCCACATCCACCTACACTTTGTGCTGCATAACTACATTCAAACATTACAATTTTTTTAAAATGTAGACAAATTCTCTCATAAAAGCAAGAGTGGCTAGTATTGGCTTGAGCCAGGTACAGTAAAAACAACTGTTGTATAATTTCTCTACACAGCTTTGGCACCATATCTCAGTTTTGATGTTAAAACCCTTTACTCTAGGAGGTGATTTTTAAAGGTACAAATAGCAGGTGCCTAACTGACCTATGTGTTTTTAAAAGTCTTCACACAGTATCTACAAATACAGATATGATGTGAAGAATTTTGATAAAACAGGGCCCAGGAAAACATTGAATAATTCATTTAAAATTGTCAAAGCAGAATTCACCTTCAGAAGTGAAAGGTTGTTGCACTGCCCCATTTTGCTGTCTGACTTTATTGACATTTAAAAAAATGTAGATGACACAGTACAATGATCTGCTTGTGTTAATCATTGCTGAGGGAAAAAGAGTTTTGATTTCCAAAGTAGAAGCTATAGACACTTCCTCTGAAAGAGCCTTCCCCCACAGTCTTTATTTCAGTTATACCAAATGACTAACATATTTTATCACTCTGGATGCTGGTAAAGTTATTCATTGTATCATATGAGCACATACATTCCTTCTGGTTTAGAAAGCAGTCCTTATGTGTACTCAGATGAATCACAACAGCTTAACCATGAGTTACATAAATTCGGCAGTACACTGTACTTACTTACAAACTGGAATATTAAATTATCAATAAATTAGCATCAGCCAATAATCTACTGGCTGCCTCTAGTTCCATTTGTGCTCTCCACAAGTGGCACAACATAAAATTGGTTGGAACACCCCCGAGCCTCTAAAAATTTAGAGTTCTCAGGGTCTGGCAGTTTCCTTGAACTGGCATTCTCAGTATCCAGGGGCAGTGAAAGTAGAGTTAGTGTCTTCTAGCACTTATGTGGATGGCATGTGAGAACAGGAAATATGACATACTAGCGGGAAGGAGAAATACAAGGAGAAAAATATGTAGTCTACATGCAAGATTAGAACACAGACCATTAAAACAATAACTGAAAAGGGTGACAAACCCACAGAGCCAAGGAAATTCTCTACTGGACGAAGTCAAACAGTGCAGACACACTACGGAATGTCTGGTTTGCTATTACAAGTTTCTACAACAATGGGTGAGCATACATACTCAGGGTAGTATTTAATTGTGGAGCTCCTCCTCTAGTAGGGGTGTGTATTTCTTTCTTAAAGTGTTTGGTGGCTGCCTTAGCTCAAAATTTCTTTGCTAAAATGTGCACCTCATAAAACTAAACCAAAAAAAAAAAAAAGCTATTACCTGTATTAAAGCAATTTTGTCATTCTACAAGCAAGTTCATATTGTAACACAGCTATTCTCAAACTGCTACCATGACCACACTGGGTAAAGTTGCTAGATTCACCAGTGTGTAGGCATTAAGATATTCGTGTGCAACTAATGTATTGGGAGAACTGTAGCAATACCAGTCAAAGCAGATAAAATATATAGCCACCAGACTAGCTTAGTATTTAAAGTTAAATACTGTAACTATTTCAAAGCTAGTTTTTCAAATATATACATCAGTGAACAGAAAACTAAATGCACCATTAAATATTAATGTGAAATATTTTTTTAAAAATTATAATTGGTCAAAAGGCAGACATGAATATATTTTTTTAGTTTGACAAATTTAGTTTGATTATTACAATTGCTAGAGATTTTAAAATGACTTTAATAATTTTTTATTTAACTTCTTGGACATCATGCTGTTTGGATAGTCCATAGTAACCTTTCTGGATCTAATATACTATTAAAAAGTGATTGTTTTCATTTTAAGCATTCTCCTGTTTTGCTGGAAACCCAAAGTAGTTTTTCATTTCACTTTGTATATTCTTGAAAAAATATTCTGTTTTTAAAAAAGAAAAATCTTCAAAGCCTAAAAGTTGGGCCCACACTACTTGACAATGTCCCTTCAAATATAATCAGCAAAAGAGAGGAAAATCTGTGTGTGTGTGTCTGTCTGTCTGTCTGTGTCTTCTTTTTGGTGCATTATAGTCCATAAAGGAGACTGAAAGGTCTACACACATGGTTTCCCTCACAACCAGGGGAAAAAAGTAAGAACTCTGCTTGTTTTTTACATTATAAATGCTGTTCTTGGTTACCCTCTTTTTACTGGAAGACTCCATAGATGATAAGAGTGTTAGGAAGCTTATGACATCACAAAGTGGTAACAAAAAACACTTTCCCTTTCAGTTAATCAGGTAACACCTATTTAATTCACACACCTACCAACTGGTGGGGGGTCAGGGGAGCTCTTTTTTGTTCATGATTCAATACCTCTAGCCCTTTTGGTAAGAGATAAGAGAGGTTCCAGTTTGCATCTCTGATTGTTACAAAGGAAACCTACAACTGAACAAAGATGATAATACTTGACATTTCTGCTTTTTCCAAAATAAAAAATAGCAGAAATAATCCAGTATTTAAACAATCCTACACACATTTCACAGTCCTTCTTTATATCATAAAAAAAGGATACAAACACATCTGTCTTCAGGTCACCTCTAACATTCCAGTACAATGCAATATAACTTAAAGATTGCACCTTCCATGCAATCTGTATCCTATGCTGTATCATATATTAGCAGCTTCCTCGGTACAGGTGATTTTTAATTTCAAAATCCCAGAGTAAATGTTAATTAATTGATCAAAATCTACAGCGGCAGGCAACATTCGACTCACCATCATTCTAACATCACTCCTTTTGCATCTTTAAAAGTCAAGCAGAGGATTAGTAATTAACCAAGCAAATAATTAGAAATGTTACAAGATTAGCATTCTGATTAGTTTTAAAATTAGGTGTTGAGACATCACTACTTCCCAGTATGCCAACTAGTGAATTTCTGAACAGCCTAAGGAAGACAGGTTTCAGGGCCACCCTTCTTCCACTGTAAAAATCCCCCACACCAGGCATTAACAGTGTTTCCTTCCCATATAGTTTTACACCACCACCATGGGTCTTCCCAAACCCAAGAGACCACAGAGAAGAGGAGTTAGATTTTGCCTTACCCCACTGTGAAAGTCCCTTATCCCACTTAAATGCACCGCATAAAGAAGACTGGCTCAACAACGGCCTTACAGAGGAGCGCCCCTTTTCCTCAGTAAGAGGTCTATTTTTGAAAAGCGGACAGGAATATTGTTCCAACTGTGAAGCTACTTTTGTTCTAAAGCAGTCAGCAATCAATGGCTAGCAGGTGTAGACAGTACACAATACTCCCTTATGCCCATAGTTGCAGGCATCAAACCTCGGTGATACATCAAACTTTTAGTGGCTTAGGGAGCTGGATAATTTGAGACACCTTACGCAAAGCAACAGCACTCAGTGCTAAGCTAAATTTTGACCTATCTCTAAAAGGCTTTGTATAATCCCTTAAGTAAAAACATAAGATTTTGATTACCACCTACCATTGAGTGGTTCTTCTACAGCTTTCTGTAAAATATTTAAAAATATTTATATACATATATATGTATATATTAAAAAATCCTTCATGTCTATTTTTGGCTCCCCACAGTTAAATTACTCTAATTGACATATACAGTAAGTAGTGATTCTACAAAAATGAAAGAAGCTGAAGATTAGTAACTACGGCTATGAAAAACAAATCCATCAATAATTGCACTCTCTTCATGTTATCTCCAACCGCATCAGGAATCTAATTTTCCTAGTGAAATGTGTAGAGGCGGAAAGAGATACACAAGACACACTACTTGTAAGTGAAGCAGCAACGGCTTTTCTCCGCAATCTGATCACTGGTGCAGGAAACAAACAGCACCAAGATTAAAAAGCACGAGTTAATAGCTCTACAGAAGACATCCCAAATATTTATGCATTTTATCTGGTAGGGAACTAAGCAGAGGCAGAGTAATATGGACAAACAAGAAACTTGATAGATTTTAAAAGGAAATTGATTAAGGTTGACAGTCTCAAAAACACGCCCTTTTCCCCTGGGCCTCAAGAAAGTGTCAAGAGTTATTTTAGAAATATGCCCCTAATAAAAATAAATCACAGGTCTCTGAGTGCAAGGTTACCATAGCCCTTCGGTTATAAAGAATTAAAAAAAACCTTTTAATTTTAAAGGGAACTGTACATCTTTTTATAAACCCCTTTAACACACAGCAATATGTGCTGAATTTCTCTTGATGGAGGCAGGCAACCCTAAACCTGATTTTCAGACCAGAATTTCGTTGGGCCTCTAGACTCCTGTGTACTTTACTGCACCCACAAAACAATCTGTCTGTCTCTCTCTTTGGAATCATCCAGTGGCCAAATGCTGGGGTACCTAGCCACAAGTCCATCCAGTAATTAGACATCCAAAATTATAGGGATTCTGATTGCAGTTGTAAAAAGGGCCAGTTTGCATTTGATTACCCTTTGGAAAACAGGGTAACCACAATTTTAGGAAGCAACTGCACTTAGTATATTTTTTTAAAAAAAGGGCAGGCTGCAAAACCAGGATTACCTTCCTTAGAAAGATTAAAAAACATACACTTATTCTGCATGACCTAAAGATAACAGCCACTCTGCTTTCAGATGGCCTCTTCAATATTAGGGGGATTGTAAAGAAAATTATAAAGGGTATAACATTTGTGTACCTGGGAACCCAAAAAAGTGTTAGACCTTCAGTGTGAAAGAGACTGACAAAGAAAAAAAATTTGGGGGTGTGTGTGGGGGAATAATTTATTAAAGACAGACTGAAATCTTGTTTATTAAATGTTTACACATCTATTAGTGCCAACAAAGGGTGCACTGTCAACTGAAGGTATCCATTCGGCCACACAAAATATGCAGCATGGTCAGTAGAACAGCAAGCTTCCTTACACAGCCTGACCACCCAATGGCCCTTCCAACTCGAGTTGGATAGGGTAGCTCTGTTTCCATGTCCATTCAAATCCTTGGCCTGTCAGAAAAATTAGCCAGCAAGGGGACCAATTACAGAGATCTGGAAGTACATAATCAGGAACTAGACTAAGGCCACCAATTCAATTAACACAGACTACTGGACAGCTACCATATAGCAGTGACTTTTGCTTGCTACCAACCTGGTCTGAATTCAAACTAGTGGTGAAAGGCTCAGTATCTCATTACCATTCCTCATCTAATCACCCCAAATTTATTATTTCTAAGCTTACCTTTGGAGGTTGATCTTTCTTGCAGGAACCTAAAAATATTACAGAACATAAAAATGAGCACATTATTAGCTATACAAAAGAATTCAACTTTTAACTGAAGAAAAAGACAAAAGTTGGAGGAAAGCAACAACAGTCAGAAGGAATCACATCCTTGGTTATTTATCCCAAACTACTTTGTGCGATCTATACATTCTAGGAGACTGCATCACTCTTCTGTAGAGGGGATAAATGTTCCAAGCACAAGTGCTCCATGTATTAATTCAGCTAAAGCACTTCCAGATCTATGAATGAAAAACATTACACAAGAGCATTATTATTGTTACTATGGCACTCTTGTGCTGGGTGGGTTGGGAGCTATTGTTTCAACAATGATACATTTGCTAGGCCAGCTCACCGCATAAAAATCTACCACATGAATACTGATCTTGTAATGGGATTTCACTGTAATAACATCTACTTCCTATCTCCCAAAATCATATCTAATAAGACTGTAGCAGCATAATCTCATAATATAAAAACCACAAAAGTGAAGCTAAATAGTTTAGATCATTAGCATGTTGTACCAAAACCAAACTCTGCCCTGAGATACACACAGTGCCCATCAAAATCAATGGAAGTCGTGTTCGCGTTACTCTGTTGCCTAGTCTGGTCTCTCTCAGTTCACCCCCTCAGATGTCAAGCTCCATGCCTTTACACCTCCTGGGATGGAATTCTCTGATTCTCCTATTATTAGGCCAGGTCCAGAGTAGTATGAACCATGATAATATGGTTTTTGATACAGGTGACCAGATCAAACCATTGTTTAATCTTAGCAGCACAGTATACTATAAGAGTCAAAGAATTTTAACACAACAAAGGGGCTACATGTATTTCTGTTTTACCCTAATCCCCACCACCCTATGTTAATAGGCCAGGCATGTTTGCTTCTTCAGACCCCATCATGCAGAATGTCTGTCTGTCAGTCTTCTCTCAGCAAACAACTGCCTGGCAACTGCCTCCCTCTCTAGAGAATAACTTTTTACAGTTTAGTGTCCTTTTGAACCATTCTGGCTTCTAGCCTGAGCAAATTTGTAACTTTGGCTGGAGCCTTGAAGTAGTATCTTCCTAGTTCACAGCTCAGGCAATGTCACTTAATAACCTCCACCTTGCTTATGGGGAAGTGGTGTATCTAGAGTCAAACTGTGTTGCCTTCCTTCTAGTTTCCTAACAGCCTTGCTATTAAACTAAATCACCATCTGAATACAATAAACAGTTCAATAATCACATATAGCCATACAGTATCTATCCCAATAACCAAGTCACAAACAAAATAAAGAACATATTACAGATCAGCCCCACAACTTCCAGTCTGCACATATCCAGAAGCAGAATTTGTCCCATAACAACATCTGATACATAGGAATATAAAAATTTTTCTCCCAAATTAATCCCTCACACCTACCTCAATTCTCCTTCTGCATTTAAGTTTCCCTCCTGCCTGGGTCATTTTACCTACTCACTTTTTGGTCACCCCCTTGGGTCCACTTCCTAAAGTAGTTTGTTTTTTACACGTAATTTATTGTATATTCCAAAAGCACATCATTAGATTTTATACTTTTCTGATTACTTTATTCTGATGCCAGTACTGGATGAGGAGACCAGTTCATGGAATGAGACTGAAACACAAATCAGGCTATGTTAATAAGACCCATTCTAGAGTTATCTTGCTAGCCAGAGACCTTCCCGGAACTTTGGCTTTGAAAAAGCGTAAATGGGCCTCACTGTTCACTCCAGGAGTTCCCCTCATAAAATATCTACTAGATGTTCTACCCACTCATCATTTAAAAGGGTTTTTGGGGACAAGAGTTCACATGAGGGAGGGGAATATGTCATAGATCAATGAAGAAAAGGAAACTGGTGTCTGGAGTTAAGAGACCTGTATTTTTTTTAAAAAAACAACAACATAACATATCAGATCACATGCTATTTTAAAATACAATTATATTCACCTCCAAAAAAAATGAATTCAGGGAACAGTTCTTCTGAATATTCAGATTAAAACACCAGAAAAAAAGTAATAAAAATTACTAGGTGCTACTTACCCAAAGCAATCATATAAATTAGGCCAACAACTGCCATAAGAGCCATAATGGCTAACCCAGCAATCACGACAGCACCATTTTTCGGAGGGCATGCTGTTGAAAACAAATTAAACATTTATATTATTTTAAGCAGGTAAAGGAACATATAAAATGTATTTCAGAGTAGCAGCCATGTTAATCTGTATCCGCAAAAAGAAAAGGAGTACTTGTGGCACCTTAGAGACTAACAAATTTATTTGAGCATAAGCTTTCGTGAGCTACAGCTCACTTCATAGCCGATGAAGTGAGCTCACGAAAGCTTATGCTCAAATAAATTTGTTAGTCTCTAAGGTGCCACAAGTACTCCTTTTCTTTTTATAAGATGTAATTTCTCATTGAAATTTTTCTGTTCATAGCATGAGCATTCATTTTCAACTAGTAAGGGACAATAGCCTAATTTATCTGTTTTAACAATATGCAGAAAAAAAATCCTTGCAATTTTTGAAATGTCATTTAACATATAAAATTATACTAATCTGTTGCATTCTAAGGGCATTTTTAATTATTCAGTGTTTTTCTCCTTTAGAGCAGAACTTCTACTCCCTACTCCTTTACAATATTGCGCAAATTTAATAAAAAATAATTTTGGTGAGAGACATACTTAAGTACATAGTAAATGTTTTGGGCCAAATTCTGCTCTCCATTACATAAGTCTAAATCTGGAGTGGCTCCAAAATATCCCCCAGATTCTCCAAATATACATCAATAGAGCTGAGAAGAGAAGTTGGCTGTTAAAATCTAACCCAGTCCCCCACCAAAATGCCCACTCACCCTGGCCCCAATAAGAAAAGAACTTTAGTTTAACTTCAGTAGGGGCTACTCTAATCTGCTCAGAGTTAGGCATAGGCTTAGACTCAAGGCCTCTAATTTCTACTGAAATATTTAAATGTTGAATTTTTAAAAGATGTTGAACATAACATTCGGAAATATACACAAAGTCGGTCTTATGCTGTAAATGGGTACTGTGAAAGGGACACAGTTTGGGAAAATATCACTTCTGTTTGAAAATGTTGCACCTACTATAATAAAAACATCACCTAAGACTACGATAAATGAAAAAGATAAGCAAAAAAGTTATCAGGTTATTTAATTGCTGCATGACAGCATTTAGGCCATGATCCTGCAAACACTTACTTAAATGCTTAACTTCATGTATTTGTGTAAGTGTTGGAAAGATCAGGATCATAGTGTAGTCAGATTGACTCTTTCACCTCTATAGTCCGTTTTTCCTTTGCTAAAAGACCCTTTGAAAAACAGAGCAACAGAAAACCCTTATTTTTCCTCAAAGGAGTTTTTTGTTTGTGATATTTTTAAAATCAAGACAGTATTTAAAGGATGCTCTATCAGAAGCAGGATTTTTTTAAAATTAGGCAATTAAAAAAATCCAAGTTAACACAGCTTTAAGAACCTGCTTTCAAAAATTATTTGTAAACAGTTTTTGAGGCCAGTGCAAAGACAGTATTTTTTTCCTTTTTAAAGAAGATCAGTTATTGAAAACTCTCCATAACTTTTCTTCCCAACCCCCAAACACCATTTAAAAATAGTTACACCCTGTTCACACTGGCCAAAACAGCAAAGCTACTTGACACCATTTTCAAGATAAGTTTTTGAAACCGTTTCTTAACATGGTGCATTTAGTAGAACAGAGGCATAATTCTCTCAAGTCAAATTCACATTTATGCTTTCTAGGATAAGTCACTTCAAGACATCTACAAGAGAAAGTATTCTGTATGAACACAGTTCAGTGTTTTACCATTATTAGAGTCCTGCATGGATACAAAATTTGTATCTGCATCTGATCCGGGAGCTGCAAAAATGGTCCGCTGATAAAAAGCAGGTATCTGCGGATTTGCAGGGCTCTAACCATTATTCGCAAACACACTGCCAAGCTTGGCCAGCCCTAAATTTGTCCTCTCTTTCTTCTGAGATTACTTTGCTCTGTGTTTTACTCTTGAAGAAAAAAAGCTTCCATTTTTTGCTGGCCCACGAGAAAATAAAAATCAAATTTTAATCAGTACTGTATCAGAACACTGCAGGCATTCTTCCAAGTTTACTATTTAATGAATTCGCATTCTTGCTGAAGCTCTTGTGATTCATTTGCCTCAACGATACTGTTAAAACATACACAGCAAAAGCAAAGGTTTGACAATACACTCTACTGATTTATTCATTTAAACATCAGAAATGGATTCTGCCTCTGTGCATGTGTTCTTTTTAAGATTGTTGAACACAATCAAAACAACACACTAATGAGGGTCAATGCTGGTTGTAGGTGACTCTTTAGGGTATGCAGTACTGCAAAATAAGTAGTAAATTAAAGCAATCCTTTTTTTAGGCAACTGCTTGCAGGATGCAGCCATGCTGGATAGTCATACAAATGAAACTATAATATGTAACATAATGCCTTAAGGTTATTTTTCCTTCACCAGATACAACAGTAGTAACACAGCAGTTCTAGAATATATTTATAGCAATTCTATTGCTAAATCATGAGGCAGAAAAGTTACTTTACAAAATATTCCAGTGTTAATGTGCAAATAAACTGGTCCCACTAGGTACAGACAAAGGTAAAAAGAACAGATACAAAAAAGTATTTTGTGCAAAAGATTCTCATTATTAAACCAAATTGCTAAAATTAAGTATATTTTCTTTTAAAAGAAGGTATGTTGCTTACCTGTGATGCACAGGGCAAAGCCGATGACAGCAATCAAATAACCAAGTGATTCCAGAACTACCACAAGAATTTCAAACAGTAGTAGATTATTCTTAAAAACTGGAGGGAAAAAGCCAAATATTTTACTGTAGCTTTTGAAAGGACAACAAAAGAAAACATGTGAGGTTTGTGATCCAAACTGGACTAGGAACCAGAATCTTCTGAATACTAGTCCTGGCCAGCTTGTGTGATGACTAAAGAAATCCTGAGACAAACAGCTAGGCCTTTCCCTTAAAGGACAAGGGACACAATAAAAGCAAACAACGTAAGTGGAAAAGTAAACAAAAAATCCCTGAAGGTTGTGATTCAATCCAATCCTATGACCCTGGATGAGGAGTCTGAGCTACCCAAAGACATTCTACCCCCAACTCCATCTCCCAAGCAGACAATTCACAGTTCTTTTCTTGATCACCTAAGCCAGGTGATCTCAGGTTATTCCCTTGTTCACAGGACATTAGGAAGACCAGGACCGCAGCACACTGTCATAGTGCCTATTTATGAATGACAAACATGTAGGTTATGAGTAAAAAAAAAAATTGTGTTTCTAATATTAGACTGAGATGCTTTTAATGAGACAGTAAATAAATGAATCCTCACCTATCTTAAGCAGAAAATACTGAAGTGGCACTAAAATCACAGCAGGGAGTACAATTAAGCCAAGTCCAGCTTGATTCTTTGGCTCAAACCCATCTGTAAACAGTTGTACAAATTAGTAAAACAGAAAATCATGGCTGACATTAAGCACATGCAAAGCAAGTAACCTCTTGGGATCCTCACACTTTTAGGGGTCTGGAAATCCCAAGCACGCTCTGCAACTCACTTCCTGACCTTTGATCTCTTCAAGCAGTAGAACAGGAGGAAGAAATCAGTTTTTGGCCTAATTCTCCCCTTCTGCAGTTTGGAGCTCTACAAATCACAAGGCTGCCCTGGAGCAAATCCAAATGCAGTAATACATTTTAAATAAACACCCAGTAATTATATAACCCATTGAACCCTGGTGAAGATTTTGTACTCTTTTCTTTCACCTGGCCATGTTCAACCTGGAGGTCTGGACTTCTGCTGGGACTGTAAATGTTTGTTCTGTACATAAGGGAGTCTTTGCCCGAACTTGTTTAAATACCAGGTTCTGGAGAAAATAACATTCCTGGATGGGATATTCCAAGCCCAAGGTATAGGAGTTTTGTTTAATATACTGTGTTGTTTACAGTGATAAGGTTTGGTTCAGTTCTTTTCTCAGTCCTGTTCATTCCTCCTTAAAGAAAGTTTTCATTGCCTATATGTTGTATATTTAATACTACCTTGTCTCCCGATTCTTCCTTCTATGATAGTGGATTATCTTGGTAGTGAGATACACTAAGGTTTCGGAGTACTCCACACTCAGATCCTATTGAACTTCACTTAGATTAAAGACATTCTTCTATTTTGGTAAAGTTTGTGGCCCGGCCCGGCCCAGTCAAGTACTGGACCAGACCAGTTATGGGTTAGTCTCATAAGAGGAGGAGAGAGAATCTCTTCTAAGACAGCTCCATATATATTACCACATATGGGGCCAGATCCTCAGCTTCATCAATTTACAACAGCTCAGGATCTGATCCATTGTGTTGGATACTGATATTAATATGTTTTGATATTGCTTTGTACAGATTTGCATGTTGAACAGAGGTCTTCAGAAGGATACCTTGTGAATTTGATTGCAAATATGGACAAAGATTAAACTACTTTTTGAGCCACAGCTTATCAAAACTGAACTCCAGATATGAAATTTAAGCAAGCACCTCTTATGAGCTCAGAATTACCCATTAGGAAATCAAAATAGAAAGAGTACACATTTGAAATGGCATCATTACCAAGAATCAATAACTCCAAACTAAGTGTTGCTTTTATGTTTACTAGATTTGTTACTTAAAAAAAAAAAATCCAGTAAACAATAATACATTAACACTATACAATCTATACCACGTCAACGCATTTTAACAGATTTTTACATGTTTTTGGACTCAATCCTGCAGCTGCTCCTCATTCAGAAGTCCCACTGACATCAATTGGAATTCTTGGTGAGCGTGGAACAGGAATTAAAAAGCCCTTTAATTAAATCTTTTAATCTGCATATGAAATTGATTCTCTTTCTTTTTGCAGTTTAAAAATAAAAAGATTATTTTAAACAGAGGCAAGCCTCTACAGTATGTTTAAAGAATTAGAAATACTCTTATCCAATATTCCATAGTTTCTTAATGTGTAACTTTAATAACTTCCATAATGTGTAAGTTTAATCTAACTTTAACAAGTAGTCTTATGTGACAATTACCCTTGACTTTAATGAATAACTTTGTTCACATGCATCAGTGTTTGCAAAACCCAGGCTTCAGTCAGCACTTTGTAGCTGTGGAAGTTATACAAGCATTTTTTTCCTCCAGGATCTACATGGTCGCACTCAAATTTGGCATTCTCCTCTCATGAGACATATGGAGGTTGCTTTTACATTAATGGGAAAGACACACTAATAGCCTGAATTTACACAACTAAAGTCAATAGGAGGGCTATCATTGACTTTAATGGGAGTTCTGATTGGCTCAGTTCTTAAATTATGAATATTTTGACTGCACCCTCCAAGGAAACTTACTCTGCAGCTGATGGAATAACACTGCTCTACCCTGATCAGCCCTTGCTTCTGGATAGCACTGGGCACGTCAAGTAAATTGCCTTGCTCTGTCTCCCTGCATATGTGCACAGACAGCGATACAAAAACAGAAATCCATTAATTTCTCAACTGCCTTTCTCTCTAACCAAATTGAATACTGCAGAGCAAACACATATGGGTTACACAAGCAGAAGTCTTGGATTGTTGTTAGTTCTTTTATTTTGGGGGGGAATTCTGTAACAAGGGAAAAAGAGCAGAGCGTGCAACCAGAAAGGACGACACTGTGGGAAGAAGAGAGAACATTCTTCAGAGTGCAGCCTCTACTGCTGATTTCAACACCTGGTAACTGGAGCAAAAACTGCCATGCACGCAGGTCGTAAAAAATGCACTACTTGGGAATATTTTCACGAAATTCCTGTACCTCTGGATTAAAAAAAAAAAATGAACACATGCCAAATGCAAACAATACAACAAAAAGATGTAAGGCCTGGTTGCCAGAATGAAACATTATGAAAAATAATCCTCAGAAAGCAAAGACTTTGAAGATGATGATGTAAACATGTCTGAACCATCAGGATCAAATGGTTAATAAACTTATTTTTCCACCATTCTATGGACTGCCTATGATATCTTAGTATGCTAGTGAACGATAACTTAAATTACTGTCATAAATTTGTGTTTTGGGTGGATTACTTATGAATTTCAAAATGTTTATGTTTAAAATATAATTGATGTTAGTTATGGGAGTATTTATCAATTAAATTTTTATGGTTACCGCTGCACTTTTGAAATATTTTTTTATTGCTCAAAATAATCAAATATACTAGGCGACGATTTTCTGTTTAAAAGTAGTTTTATCAGGCATTTATTAATTTTAACATTTAATTTTTTTTTCAAGCTGTTTGGTATTTTTGAGATAAGCATTTAAATAGATATAGATAATCCTTATAACTTATTTTTACTATACAACTGCGTTTAGAATAAATTGTATAATTTAAACAGTGGTACAAACAGCAGCAGTAGGAGAAATCTTTCATTTACAATCTTCTATTTTTTAAGCAGGGCCCTGAATCACAGGGAGTGAGAGTGGCTTTTTTTTTTTACCATTTTATTTCAGGATCCAACTTATACACAAGGGGTTAAAGAACATCCATCATCTGAATGTCTACAACTTCACAGCCATCTGCTGGTAGCACCAGCAGTGCTGCAACTAAACATACATCAGACTATAAATTACCTATATTAAAAAAAAACCAAAAAAACGCCTTCTCTTCATCATCCAGTAAACATCATGGATGAGTTTGTAATCAGGACCAGCTAGTTCCATCAAGACTTCATCGATGAAAAGACTGCTCAGTTCATTTTTGCAACAAATTCTCCCTTTTGTCTTGTTAAGAATAACCATTTCAATGACATGGTTCGATGATTACGATGAGGTTCCACTCAGCAGAGCAGACATTACTGAAAGGTTGCTGGATGCAGTGTATGAGAAGGAAACTGAACAGCGTGCAAAAACATTGACAAGAAATTATTTAATCTGGGTCTTGATAGAGAAAGCAATGTGTACACTGATCCAATAATATGTGCTTGTGCGGCAACAAAAGATGGGGATGTCTACCTTATAGAAACAACTGGTACCGCCGAGTACTTAAAAGTAGCAGCAGCAAAAGCTATAACAAACTGATCAAAAATTCAAGTGTCAAGTGCATAGCTTTTCATAGACAATGCTGCAAATGTAGCACAAATGAGAAGAAATCTAGAAGAAGATAATGATAGGAACATGAAACTTATAATGTATGGGTGCATTGCTCAGTTGATGCATCTTCTATCTAGCCACAGACTTACGGACAATTCCAGCATAAAGGAAAATGTTGCTGAAAATTGCAAAATACTTCCATAACAAGCACGCCGCTTCAGCTTCACTGAAGAGAGAAAGAGAGCCAAACTAATTCTGCCCCAAGACGCACAACAGAATTCACTGGTTGACTTTTTTGAGCTATTTATCAAGAATTGGCCTATTCTGATGACAATTTATGAAGAAAATCATGACAAAATAGATGGAACTATCACAGTCAAAGAAAAATGTAGAAGATATGCTAGTTCTGTAGCCTTGGACAAACTGCAGAAAGATAGCTGCTGTATTGCTAATGCTGTTGAAATCTGGAAAGTCAAGAGACATGGTAGAAAGAAATACTCAGCAACAAAGTTAAATTTCATGCAGCAAAGAAACAGATGGATCAAGCACTTACTCCACCTCATTTTCTTACCAATATTCTCAATTAAAAAATGAGGAGGGAGTGTTCTGAAAGTTTGAAGGACAGTCGCAGTAACTTAGCCCTGGTCTACACTATGAGTTTAGGTCGAATTTAGCAGCGTTCAATCCATCTAACCCTGCACCCGTCCACATGACGAAGCCATTTTTGTCCACTTAAAGGGCTCTTAAAATCGATTTCTGTACTCCTCCCTGAAAAGGGGATTAGCACTAAAATCGACATCGCCGGGTCAAATTTGGGGTAGTGTGGATGCAATTGGACAGTATTGGCCTCTGGGAGCTATCCCAGAGTGCTCCATTGTGACCGCTCTGGACAGCACTTTGAACTCAGATGCACTTGCGATCCTGCGCGAGCCAGGTCGCTGTGTCACATGCACTCTGTGCTGTGTCAGCCTTGGGCGGGGGCATGACTGCTTTGTGAGCAGGAAGGCCATAGATATAGACATTGCATTAGGTAGCTTCTGTAGCTAGAGAAAACATTCCTGTGCATTCGGCAAAGTCTGTGGCAAAAAAAAAAAACAGAAGCCCCGTGACACATCAAAGTATTAATAATACACAACCACACGTTACATAAAGTATAACAGGAACCACGCGAGGGATACATTCAAGTTGGGTTTCTGTAGTGTAGTGGTTATCATGTTCACCTAACACATGAAAGGTCCCCGGTTTGAAACTGGGCAGAAACAGGTCACTGTTCCTTTTTCTGACTCCCCTCCTGCATTTTTAGCCTTAGAACAGACCGTGCTGTGAAATTTTACTTTGAATTATATCAATTATGAGTTAAATAATATGGAAGCTCTAATTTATAGTCCCGGGTTCCTTTCCCTTTCAGCTGCTCTGATAAATTAACATTTTTGTTGGGGGCGGGGGAAAATTTTCATGAAGCCTTTTATAGGGACTAAATGATATCTAGGACTCTGAAATAATCTTAATGTGGCCCACAGAGTGCAATCCTTCATTCTGGATTTGTCATTCCACAAATTGAACTGCTCCTTATTACTGTCCAGGCTTCACGAGTCTGGGGCAGGCTGGGGTAGGTGTGACCGCGCCATGCTGCTGGCTGGGAGAGCAGCCTGAGGCAGAAGCCTCCAGCTCGCATGATATTCCAGGCTGGACTGAATCTTCATGAGACGAAACTTAAAGAAGAGAATGACCTGGAGTCACTCCCATTAGGTGCTCTAAGAGGAGGATAGCCATGTCTGTCCAGGCACCCCTGATCGACCTCACAGAGGTCTGCCAGGACCACCCAGGAGATGTACAATGGCTATCAGTCCTACTGCACCGTCTGCCACGAAGGCAAGGAGCTGCTGTTGTGTAGCAATGCAGTACAGCTTTTGCCAGCAGCATCCAGGAGACGTACGGCGATGGTAAGCTGAGTGAGCTCCATGCTTGCCTTGGTATGGCAAGCATGGCAGCAGGCTGAGTGGGAGTCGGCGGCCGGGACCCCGGCTGGCAGGAGTTGGCGGACGGAGCCCCAGACCGGCAGCGGGCTGAGCAGCTCAGCCCGCTGCCGGTCTGGGGCTCCGTCCGTCGGCCCCACTCAGCCCCCTGCCTGCTTGGGGTTCCGATCATCCAGGATGGCAGTGGGCTGAGCGGGGCCGGGACCCCGGAAAAAAGGCGCAAAATGATTGTCTGCCCTTGCTTTCATGGAAGGAGGGGGGCCTGACGACATGCACCCAAAACCACCCGCAACAAAGATTTTGTCCCATCAGGCATTGGGAGCTTAACCCAGAATTCCAATGGGCAGTGGAGACTGCGGGAACTGTGGGATAGCTACCCACAGTGCACCGCTCTGTAAGTCGATGCTAGCCACAGTACTGAGGATGCACTCCGCCAACTTAATGTGCTTAGTGTGGACATACGCAATTGACTGTATAAAATCGACTTCTAAAAATCGACTTCTATAAAATCGACCTAATTTCGTAGTGTAGACATATAAGGAAACTACTGTCTCATTTTCATGAGACTTAGCCAAGTAGGAACTTAAGCTTCACTCACTTGGTCATATTTGAACATTTTTCCAGGCTGACCTGAAATAATCAGTTTAATTCACCGATTACAGTTAATCTCTTTGTTCCTTTAATAATTCATTTAGTTGTAAGTGTGAAACATGTTTTGATAAAAGATGTTTATGTATCCAAAACATTTAAGGTTGCTTTGTTAAATAAAAGTAATTTTATATGCTGTTTTTTGTTTAATTAAATTCCAGTTACCATCCTAATGCAGCTTGTCACAAATCATGAACAAAAAGTTAATTTAACTAGTAAATAAGCAATATATCATTCATCATTTTCTAACATACTCAAAATGTACAATTAATAAAGAATCTGAAAATAGTAAGCTATATAACTGCTTAAATCAATGTATATTGGTATAGCATACCCTAGGCAGCAAAAAGAACCAAATCTAGTGTAAATGCTCTATTTAGTTGTAAATCAACATGTTTAATGGTTATATGACCTAATGGGAATGCACCTTTCTTTAGAGAATAACTGAAGTACAAATGGAAAAACTGATTAAAATCAATTCTTTAAATTGAGACTTTCCATTTGGTGATTAAATTGTCTTGATTTAAATCAATCCACCCTGAATCAAAGAGTAATTATCAATGTTTCACTGTGAAACTGGGGGTATATGTCTAGTGGGTCCTCACAGGGGTCTGTCCTGAGTCCAGTACTATTTTATATTTTCATTAATGACATGGGTAGTGGAGTGGAGAGTATGCTTTTAAAATTTGTGGAGGATACCAAGCTAGGAGGGGTTGCTAGTACTTTGGAGGACAGTATTAGAATTCAAAATGACCTTGATGAATTGGAGAATTGGTCTGAAATCAACAAGATGAAATTCAATAAAAACAAGTGCAAAGTACTACATTTAGGAAGAACTAAAAAATGGGCAATAACTGGCTAGGCAGTAGTACTGCTGAAAAGGAATTGGGGGGGTTATTGTGGATCACAAATTAAACATGAGCTAACAATGTGATGCAGTTGCAAAAAGGATAATATCATTCTGGGCTGTATTAACAGGAGTATTGTATGTACAATACGGGAGGGGCAATTGCCCAGCTCTATTCTTCACTGGTGATGCCTTAGCTGAAGTATTGTATCCAGTTCTGGGGTGGCACACTTTAACAAAGATATGGACGAACTGAAGAGAGTCCAGAGGAGGGCAACAAAAATTATAAAAGATTTAGAAAGCCTGACCTATGAGGAGAGGTTAAAAGAACTGGGCAATTTCTGTCTTGAGAAAAGATGACTGAAGGGGGGCCCAATACCAGTCTTCAAATATGTTAAGGGCTATTATAAAGAGGACAGTGATCAATTGTTCTCCATGTCCACTGAAGGTAGGACAAGAACTAATCACTTTAATCTGCAGCAAGGGAGATATGGATTGGACATTAGGAAAAGCTTTCTAACTATAAGGATAGTTAAGAACTGGATTAGGACTTCCAAGGGAGGCTGTGGAATCCCCATCATTGGAGGTTTTTAAGAACAGGTCAGGGATATCACCTGTCACTATCACTATCACCTGTCAGGGATAGTCTAGGTTTACTTGGTCCTGCCTCAACGCATCAGACTAGACTAGACGACCTAAATTTCTATGGTTCTATAAGACACTTGAAAGATAAGCAGACTGGTTTTTTTACTGAGAAAATTTAAACATAAACTTTGAAATAGAAGGTAAAGAGGCTCCTTTGTGGTATACAACTTTAATTTATGATCCTCTATTTCAAGTAATTTTGGCTGTACTGGCAAAGGAAAATAGGTAAAACATTGTTGAGCAAGTGATCTCTCTTTCAGTTCACCGACTCCATATGAAATTCCTAGGGGAATGTCTCTAGTGAGTTCCACCTTTTCACAGCTATTGCTATGGCTCCTTTACCAATCAACCTACAGAAACCTTGAAACATTGATTCTATCAAGAAATTTCAACTCCTCCTACCTTCCCATCACAAATTACCCATCTTCCCTTTAACCATTTTTACTGATGGTGCACAGAAATTCAGCATTATACCAACTAAAACACAGAAGAGTGAACTTCTGGCCTGATTTTCAGAGGTGCTGACAACACGCATTTCTCAATGAAATCAACCTTCCGTATGTTTATCACTTCCGGCCACTGATATGTTAGACGACAAATAATTATTACACTTACCTAGAACTAAAAGGATAAAACCAACAACAGCAACAACTGAGATGATGATTCCTGCAAGAATTAAGCCAATGTTCTCCTGAAATGTAGTTCCCTTTGATACTAAAGGAAAATGAAAGTAAGAGAGATAATTTGTTTAGCAATGAAGCATCATTTACAAGAATACACATCTTTTAAATTATGATCATGGTCAGAAAAAGGATCCCTTCAAGAATGGCATCTTGACGTTGTACATCTTTCCAGTTGTCCCTACAGTACTGACAGCAATAAAACTTGAGATCAGTATCCTAGATAAATTCCTAATTACAAATTAATTTACATCCTGCCTACCACAGGGCACAAGTCAACTTCCATAGATTTCACTGCAAGCTGGATCAGTTCCATAAAACCCTTTTGCCATTTCAATTAGATATGGTTAGTCTTCATTTATTTTTTTTTTTTTAGTGCGTTATGAACTGTTTGTTCAGGTGATTAGGATGCTAGCCAAGGACATGGAAAACCTGCATTCGATTCTCTGTTCAGCCACAGACTTCCCGTGTGACCTAGGACATCTGACAGATTCATAAATTCCAAGGCCAGAAGGGACCACTGTGATCATCTACAGTCTGACCTCTTGTATAAAACAGGTCTTAGAACTTCCCCAACATAATTCCTAGAGCAGATCTTTCAGAAAAACATTCAATCTTGATTTAAAAATTGGCAGTGATGGAAAGTCCATCATGACCGTTGGTAAATTGTTCCTTTGATTAATTACTCTCACTGTTTAAAATGTACACCTTATTTCAACTCTCCATTTGTCTAGCTTCAACTTCCAACCATTGGATTGTGTTATACCTTTCCCCACTAGACTGAACAGCCCATTATTAAATATTTATTCCGCATAGGAGGTACTTCTAGACTATAATCAAGTCACCCTTTAACCTTCTTCTTCTAAAAGGTCTACACAAACTGGCTTCTACTTTCCATCTGATTTTTTAAAACACTAGATTCCATTTTCTGTTGCTCCATTTTACCCTGCTGCTTCATTTATGAAAATGATATTCGCACTAACATTTAGCATTTGTAAAGAACTGAAACAAAATTTAATACTTACCAGTAACGCCTAACTGAATCCAATAAAACAAAATAGCGCAGACCAGGAAGAGTATGATGAAAATAGATTCTACTTGTGGGAACCACGGCTCTGAATTGACACACAAAAAGAGGGAAAGGGAACAGTGGGGGACATAAAATTTGAAGTTATTGGGTTTACATTATAAGTGCTCATTTTAGCCTAGTCTGTAGGCTGCTTAACACTCTCTCTGCTACCAATTTTAAAACCTATAACTACAACCTTTGATCTTCTGATGTAATTGGGTAAAATATGACAGGCTGTTCCCTACTCATTCAAGATTCCAATTACTGTAACTCCCAATTCCAGAAATGTATTTTCCCCCCCCATGTTCCTTATCCACATCTAGACTAAGGAAGGCATTAGCAAGGTTTTTGTTCTTGTTTCACGCATTTTACCACCACTACACATACTGGTATCTCTGCATTGATTTCTACTCATCAATACGCTCTGATTTCACCTGTCTCTTGGTTGCCTTTCTCTCACTAATCTCTCATACCAGGTTACCAGCCCTTCCTCAACGGCTCTGGATGGGATCAGAGCCAACTGAAAGTTACATTACTTTTGTCAAGTGCATGCTGCTGTACATGGGCATAACATGCAAAACAGCAAGGAACAGAAGCAGAAGAGATTATATCCAGGTAAATTCATATGTCTTTGTATGACACCTTCTGGCATTCATGCATGCCAAGGGTTGCCTCCCAGTTACAGGACACAGCAATTTCGAAAATACCACTACTTTGCTAAAAGGCATGCATAAATTCTGGATTTCTGCACTCGGCCTTCTTGGTTTAAATTCATTCACCAAAGACCAAAGTCTACCTTTTCTATATTGCCCCGACACTTGTTCCTCTATTCCCGCCTCTCCACTCAATGGAATTTTGCACTTTCAGCTACTACTGCTAAAAAAAGTTCACACCTTCAGCTAGATTTACACTGCTCACACACATCCCTGACAACACAACTCAACAGCCAGATTCCCAGCCCCAGAAGCAAATTGTTAAGTACAACTACACCAGCATTTTGTGGTGGGACAAGCTGCCACACTCTTAACACCATGCATTGGACTCCTCGTGGTTAGCACGATGCTCAGCACTTCACATGTATGCCAGTTTGGAGTTGCTAGAACCATTGCTGCACGGAAATAGCATAGTAGCAGGCTTGGTGCCTGATGTTCCCTGGAGGTATGGGGAGGGATGCTAGGAGAAGGGCCAGGATGAGGAAATCACAAAAGGGTTGAAGGACATGAGAAGAGAGTGTGTGGGGATCAGGGGAAGTATATCAACTTCCCTATCACAGCAAGAGGCCTGACATAGTAGGTGGTTTTATTGATGGCCCTTTGTTTTATCAATGACCATACGGCAGTGGGACAATCACAAGTGATACACCTTGGGATTTTTGTGGAGAGCAGTACAGTAGGGAGCGTGATGAAATACAAGGGTAATGTATTGTTCCACATGATCTCTCTGCCAAGAAATGTTGGACTGTCTTTTCCATGTAGCCAAGCACACAGGCTAGTGGATCTCAGAAGCCATTCCAATTTATCTGCCTTCCCATTTTGCCCCACAAATGCACACCGGGGGCTGCCCATTAAAATGTCTATCAGGAACAGGGCTACGAAGTCCTTCAAAAAAAAATCATAGCCAAAAAAACTTTTTTGTCAGTGAATATAACTGAGCACCAGACTCAGGTATCCACAAACATTCCCAGACACACAAAACATATCAACAAACCCAGGTACCGGGATTTATTCATTCGGTCATTCTATCTGTACTGCATGAGAGAGCATTACACTATTCTATCAAGAAAGTGTGGCCCAAAGGTCAGGAGTCAGGACACCCTGGCTCTGTCACTGACTTCCTGCGTGACCCTGGGGAAGTCACTTCATCTCTCTGTTGAACAATTTCCACCACTGTAAAATGAGGATAAGTACACTTTTCTATATAAAGTATTTTGAGATCTACCAACTGAGAGCACTATATGTAGAGATCTGAAGACAGAAGGGCCTGATCATAGTCTTCAAATGTGTTATGAAGAGGAAAGTGATCAATTGTTCTCCATGTACACTGAAGGTAGACAAAAAGTAATCTGTTTAATCTACAGGAAGGGTGATTTAGGTTAGATATTAGGAAAAACTTTCTAACGGTAAGGATATTTAAGTACTGGCTTTCAAGAGACGTCGTCGAATCCCAGTCACTGGAAATTTTAAAGAACAGCTTAGATAAACACTTGTCAGGGATGGTCTAGAGCAGTGGTCTCCAACCTTTTTAAGCACAAGATCGCCTTTTGAATTTAAGTACAACCCAGGATCCACCTCAAAGAAAATGTAGAAATAACAGTTTATTATGTTATATAAAGCTGAGATCAATTGCTTAATATACATAATTATACATTTTCCCTGCTTACTAAGTCTGACACTTGTGACTGCACATTACCAACCAGTGTCTTGAAATTCGGGTTGTAATTTGAAATAGTTAGTCGGAGGCAGTCCTGCAGATGTGCATCTGTGATGTGGGTGCGATACTTGGACTTGATAATCTTCATTTGTGAGAACGCCATCTCACACAGATTGGTGGAACCAAAGTAAGCTTTCACTTTTAAAGCACAGGACAACAGAAGGGGATACTTTTCTCGGTTTACGAGTCCCCAAAAATCGCTGTCCCTTGATCTGGCTTTCAGCTCAAAGTTATTCTGCATGATAATTAGCTCCATATAAACTCCATTACTTTGTAAATCAAACACCTGATGGAATGTCAGGGCCAACCCACCAATGTCTGCTGGAAGGAACGGATTTGAGATCTACATGATGACTGGCTCCATCATGTCTAATTCTTGAAATCGCCTCTTGAATTCCTCTGCTAATTTGGTCAGCTGTGCACAGAACTTTTCAGGGTGGAACCATTTTTCTTTGTCTTCAATTTTTTCTAGTATTTTCTCCATACTGGGAAGTGCTGCAGCATTTTATCCTTTAACTGGAAGGATTACAGACTCAGTTTCAATTTGAATGCATTCACCGCTCTGATTGTATGTGGTAAGTTTCTGCCCTTTCCCTGCAGTTCACAGTTCAGCTCATTCAATGTGGACGTTACATCAGTAAGTCCAGCAGCCATACATTATCTGAGAGCTCATTACACACTTCATTCCTTGATTTTAGAAAAGTGATGATTTCTGGCATTAGATCCAAAAATCTTTGCAGGACTTTCCCCCTGCTTAACCACCTCACATCTGCATGGAGGAGCAGCTCACCGTAAGTAGCATCCACTTCGTCAAGTAAAGATTTAAACAGGCAGTGCTGGAGGGCTCTTGCTCGAATTGAGATTACAATTCTGACAACGATTTTCATTACATGTGAGAAGTCCATAACTTTATTTGCTAGTGCTTGCTGGTGGATTATACAGTGGTAATTCACAAATGAAGGAAAATCTGGATCATTTCTGCAAAATGAAACAAAGTCTGCATGTGCGCCAAGCATGCCGGATGCACCATCCGTTGAGACTGAAACAAGTTTCTTGATTAGAATGATTTTCTCAAGAATGTACTTTTTGAATTCATTATAGATATCTTCACCTCTTGTTCTCTCTTTAAGGGACAAAACAGTCAGAAGGTCCTCTTTAGTTTTGTCATCCTTAAAAACCATTTGAACAAAAACAACTACCTGGGCTGTGTCGGTCATGTTGATCAATTCATCAAACTGCAGTGAAAAGCATTTGCAGTCATTCAAATCCTGCTGTAGTTGCTGAAAGTCGTCGTCGGGCAAAGATTCCACCCACCTTGCTACTGTGGAAGCACCAACTTATATGCTCTGGATTGCTGTCATCATTTCCTCTTTGTTTTGAAAGTCTTTAAATAAGGAGTCTGCTGCCACAGTCACTGCCTCTTTAAATACTTCTCCATCCGTAAGTGATTTATTGTGTTTTGCCAGCAGATGGCAAACACTAAACGATGCTTCAGTAGAGGCCTTCCCTTTTGCTGCTGGTTTAGTAAAACATGACTGTTGAGCTTTCAAAACAGCCTTTAATTCATTAACTTTCTTTGTACATAGTGGGCTAATCAAGGGGAAACTGTTCTTGAATTTGCTATGAATTGTTTAGTGGTGCTTTTCTAAATTCTCCTTTTTACTTATTTAAATACTTGTGTGACACAGAAGACACATGCACTTATCTTTCACTGTCGCGAGCAGAAATTTATTTTCCCATTCCGAATAAAAGTTGTAGGTTTTCGGTTTCTTTTTAGATGGCCCGGGTTTGTCACTCATTATTAATGCTAGCTAGCTAGGTATGTATTTTTTAGTATAAAAAGAGAAAAGAGGAGAGCACTAGCTACAACTATAGTCTAACACTTCTGAGTGGTAGACATGCGTGCCACGCATGATAAGCTTTTTTTCTTTTCTTTTTTTCCAATTCTGCACTTGCAACCAAAGGTGCCAAGAGTTATGGCGCCTCCTGGTTATTAGGAAAGAAGAAGAGAGCACCCCTGTACTTTGTGGAGATAAGACTGGTCATGCTGGAGCCTGTCTCTACCCCTGGCTCATGTGCAAAGAAGAAATAAAGTTTCAGGAAATTTAACAGAGATCTAAAACCCAACGACCTTCAATTAAAGGGCCCTCAAGCTTGGCTGTTTCTTTGCATTCATCTGTCAGGTCCAAGTGCTCAGATCTGACCAGCGCTGCGTGCAGGCTGCCCAACTCCAGAAGGAGAAAGAAGTCAGCTCTTTTGCTTCCCCCATGAACGCCTTCCTTCCTGAGCAAGCACCCAGGCCAAGGAGAAACCCCCTGCAGGGCCTGTGGGAAGCAGGGCTTTGCATTTTCCCCCTCAGCTCCCTCTAGCATGTAGGACAGCTGTCCCATGGGCTGGAGGCCCAGGGGAAAAGCCTGTGAGGGTTGGTGCGCCATGGGGCTTGGTGGAGATTGTTTGCTTGACCACAAGCCCTGTAACAGGGGGTGGTCTGGGCTGTCGCCTAACTGCGTCTGTGCTCCTAGCCGAGGAAGCACTTTCTCCTCAAGGCTCGCAGGCACCAGCCCCAACTTCCCATGGCAGCTGGTGAGCTGATTGTTTTAATCCTCCACCAGGGAGCTCCCTGCTGAATGCACACGGGCAATCAATGCCAGCAGCCTCGTCTCCCCTCCTGAGTCTGGGGGCATGGGGGGGATGGGGGGCGGAAGGGGGAGGCCGTACTCAGAGAAATACCTTCTTGTGGGCTAGATCCACCACTTTCCACGGCAGCTGGACCAGCTCTTTCTCATGGAATCCCAGCTTAGCCCCCTGAGCACCAGCAGTCTTCCCGAACAAGATCACCAGGTAGTCAGGAGGAGAGGAGGCAGCAACGGTCAGGGGTAGCAGCAGGCGAATTGGTGGCAGGGGCAGCAAAAAGTGGGAGGAAGCAACAACAAAAGGATGAAAGGACAGAGGTAGGTTGGATAAGAGGCGGGAATACCAAACTGGGGTTGAGGCAGCTGCAGGAAGGACGAAAAGTAGAGGGGTTCCACAAGGGGTAGCAAAAACTGGGGATAAGTGGGTGAGAGGCAGCAGGAGACAGAGGAGCCAACAGCACAGGGAAAGGGAAGCCATATCCCAAAGGTAACGGGGCAGGAGGAGAAGCCACTTCCTAGCAAATGACAAAGTTGCCTATGACATCAACATATCCTCTAGAGCCCAAAGGAACTCAGCTGAGACCTGGCTGTTCAACCCCTCACTTGCTCTGCATGGTTATTGCATCGGCCCTTCTCCCTGCTGGTGACGTGTAAAACCAAAGAAATGTGAATAGCTATGACACCGCTTCACGATCACTAGAGTCCCAGTGCCATTCTCTCCTGGAGCTCCATGAAAGAAGGGAGGGTGCCCTGGTTTGTAGTGCAGAGAGAGGTTCAAGGGACATCGTGTCCACTGCCTATCCACCCCACTGCAGGAAGAAGAAACTCCATCACGCGCCACATTTTAAAGAAGCTCAAATCAACTCCACAGGGAAACCGGCTCTGCTGAAGCTTTGAATGTGGGGGAGGTTAGATGGGGAGTAGGGTCCAAGATGGGAAGGTGGATTGGCGGGGGGGGGGGGGGGGGGTTGTGGAGCCAGGCTCCTAGGGAAGAGGAAGGAGATGATGACGAGCAGGTGAGGTGTCTTCTCCGCTGGGAATGGAAGGAAAGCGGCGATCATGTGGAGCGGAGGGATAGGATTGGGGCTGGGAGCGGAAGGGAGGCAAATGTGGGGTTTGCCAGTATAGCTTATTTTGCTCATAGGTGCTGGATAAGATACTGATAAAAGCGCAGTTTGGCTGGGATAAGCTAGTTTGGCTAAGAACGGTCTGCCATACTGTATAGCAGTGCTCTAGCTTCTAGCTAAGTGCTCCTATCATAGGTCTGGCCTCCGTTCCTTACACACCCACCTCTCCTGGCCAGTCATGCACCCTGCATGTGTACACAGCGTGCAAACCCCAGTCCATTAGCACCAACAGGTATCCCAGATACACTAGCACTGACATGCTGGTTGTGACGGTCCCACAGACAGCTCACCATGGTACAAACACATGCACACAGCTGTCCACATAATAACAATCCCAGTCACATGCTCTCCTTGCTCAAGGCCCCAGGTAGTGACTGGATTTTCTTCTGGAAGCAGAGGCACTGTCCCTCCTGCCTGAGGTTAGTGGAGCCTCTTCCCTGCCAGTCCCTTCCCGCCCTTCCTTCTCCTTATTCAGCATTAATGTCACCCCCAACAGCTCATTCATCCTCCCAAATTAGCCAAATGAATTGTGTTGTTATTCCAGTTACGACACTGAATGACCTGACATCAAAAACCATTCTGAATTCGCAGCGAGAAGGCAATCTATTATTTCGTTCCCCTGCCCGGCTGGGAGCACCAGGTTTTGGGCTGGAAACAGGCTCTGCTCCATTAATGGTATTTCAAAGCCCCAGTCAGGAGACTAGAGTATTTCATTTCATGCCATGGCAATTACCAAGGTGGCTGTTGTTGTTAACCCCCTGCAGCCTCTGACAGGCTAAGGCTGCTCTTTTGTTTGGGATGGGGTTGGTATACGCCTTGCATGTGTGTGGTTTAACCTGTGTGGGGCTGCTTGTTTAATCAGGGCTGTTCTCAAGCTGGGGCTTCCTTTGACTGGCAACACTGATTTCCTGCTCCTGCCCCCCCCCGCCACTATTGAGTGACTGGGGATTTCCTCTCTGCTGGTTTCCCCCAGATGTAGTGTCTTCTGGCTGGGTGTGGCAAGGGAGCACCCATCGGCAGTTGCTGGAACTTGTTCTGTGCAGAAGCAGAAGCAGCAGCGCTGCGTTTCTGCCCAGGTTAGGAAATGGGTGATGGGCAGTTTTCTGCTGATGCCTTTTCAGGATCAGAGGAGAGAGCCTAGCAGCAATTCAAGGCAGTAAGCCCAGCCCTCTCAACACCTTCCTGTCCCTTTAAGCATGTTTCAAGGGTAAGAAGAAGGCAACACCACCCGCTGAGAATGCATCCACCAAATCAGCGCTGCAGCTACGCCAGCAGCATTGCAGCCTGTGGTTCGGGCAGAGAGCTGCATTTCAGCTGTACTGTGAGTTCTGCGGGCATCTGGCATCTGGGCTGCCCTGTTCCTGCAGCGTGCGCTTTGTTAAAGTGCCATCTGCTACTGGAAAACCACCACCTCTTTGGCTGAGAGTGCGATTGGGTGGGATGTACTCCCCTAGCTGGCTGCGATGCTGAAGGAGGTGACGGGACAAGATGGAGGACTGAGACTGGGATCGATGCTCAAAGGCTCCAGGATCGACCAGTTGGTGACCACTGGTCTAGAGCAGTGGTTTTCAAACTGTGGGTCACGACTGGAATGTAAGGCACTGGGTCAGGGCGGCTCTGGTCAGCACCGCCGTCCGGGCCGTTAAGAAGTCCCATTGACGGTGCTGCCCAGCTAAGGCAGGCTAGTCCCTACCTGTTCTGACACTGCACTGCGCCCTGGAAGTGGCCAGTAGCAGGTCCAGCTCCCAGGCAGGGTGGCCACATGGCTCTGCGCGCTACCCTGCCCCAAGCACTGGAGCTGGAGGGGAGGCAGTGCCTGTGGGCAAGAGCCGCTTGCACACCTCTGCCAAGGAGCTGGACCTGCTGCTGGCGGCTTCCAAGATTCAGTGCAGGCCGCAGTGCCAGGACAGGCAGGAAGCCTGCCTTAGCACCTCCGCTGCGCCGCTGACCGGGAGCCGCCCGAGGTAAGCCTGTGCCCCAACCCTGCACCCCAATCCCCTGCCCCAGCTATAAGCCCTGCAAATCCGGAGCCCGTTCCTGAACCCCAAACCCCTCATCCCTGGCCCCACCCCAGAGTCTGCACCCCCAGTCCAGAGCCGTGACCCCCTCCCATACCCCAACCTCCTGACCTACTCCAGAGGCCTCCACACACCCTGAATCCCTCATTCCCAGCCCCACCCCGCAGCCCTTACCCCTGCACTCCAACCCTCTGGTTCGGTCCTGAGCCCCTCATCCCCAGCTCCAATGGGTCGTGGGCATTAACAATTTTCTTCAACTGGGTTGCCAGAAAAAATGTTTGAAAACCACTGATATATATTTGGATATATATTTGGTCCTGCCTCAGCTCAGGGGCTCAAGGAGGATGTGTGGACCACATGATCTCTCGAGTTCCCTTCCAGCTCTGTATTTCTATGATCTAGAAAATGGATCAGAATATACATAAACTAAAATGAGTGTGGCACAAATACCATATAGTCTGTAAAATCTAAATCAGGTGAAAAAGCCTCAGCATCCTTAAAAGTTAACAGAGACAATGCCAGCCGGCAGGCCCAACTCTTACTCATAGAAATATTCCCCTGGACTTTGATATAACTATGCTCACAAGGACTGCTCAGGTGAGTAAAGACTGGGCTTTATGTTCTAGGTATTTTTAATGGTTCATTTTCACATTTGTTATTTTATGTCCTCTCTCTCAAGACCTGGTTTGTTTCATTTCATAGCAGGCTTACAAAATCACATGACATCAACTTACCTACACGGTATATAAGTTCAATTACAGTTTCTCCTTCCCTATTCGATTCTGTCACTTCACAACTGTAGTTTCCTGGAACTGCTTGCGTTTTTGAAATTGACAAGGAGGCACTGCCCAGACTTAAATTTTGTACAGATTCTAACACAGCAGATGAAAAATTCTTGTTTCTGTGGGTCTCTTCTGTAGATCCGTCAAAACTGAAAAATTCATTTTTTTCTAGTTTCCATTTAACAAACATGGCTCTAATACTCTTCTGTGCTAGATTAGTCACTATGCAAGGTAGGATGACTGTTTTATTACAAATGGTTTTTTCAACAGACTTGATTGCATTGAACTGCAACTGGGCAGAACCTGGAAGAAAAAAAAAGTTTGATTAGACAGTCTTCCACAATTAATTTACCCAACACCTGAGCAACAAGAAAGCTATTGAAATATTGAAAAGTTCAATGGATGGCCAGACCTGATCATACACTTGAAACAAGCACAGATTAATGTTCTTCATTAGAGACAACAAGAGGGAAAACAAGAGATAAGAAGAAGAAAGAGAGGAAGGATGGATGGATTTAAAAAAAAATATTCCCCAAGAAGGCTATGCTTGGAAAGAGAGAGGAAGAGGCAAGAGGAGATTACAGCCCTTTTTTAGACATATTTACTGCTTCTTGATTCTTACATGATGTTTGGGAACCACCACAACTGGTGTCTTAGAAGTACCTAACATACATAAGTAAACATTAATACAACATTCTCAGTGCTGCATCTAACCAGACAATTCTTCTGGGATATTTTCTGTGTCTAGGGCCACATGGAGAAAACATCTGCACTAAGGCCCAATTTCAGCAAAGCACATGTTTAACTAAGTATATGAGCAGCCCCACTAAAGTTCGACTTTGACTTAAGGCAGACATGCATGTGCCTGTACCATCAGTTACTGTTGAGGGAATTGTGTGTGCAGAATTTTTAATTTTTTCGGCACAATATTTTAAAATTCTGCAAATTTTATTTGTTAATAAATGTGGAGGCTCCAGCATGGCAGTGGGGAACACAGGCCACTTGGAGGTGGGAGATCACTATGCAGCTCCCCTCCCCTGGGACAGGGGCTTGGCGGTGAAGCTTCACCTGACCCTAACACACTGAAAGGGCCGGGTCTGAGCCAGAAACACGCCGGGGCCCTGCCCCACTGTGCCAGGCACATCAAGTGCGGGCAGGCCGACTCAACCCAGCAGGATCCAAGTGCAGAGGGCCTTAGTAGGGGGGATCCAGGTGTAGGGCAAGCTGGATGCAGATGACTCAGTAGGGGATCTCGATGCGGGGGGCTCCAAGTGCAGGGGCAATAGAACTCTGCAGGGGGGTCTGGCTCAGCAGGGGGAAGTTGCGGTGCTCAGCAGGGGGATCCGGCTGGGGCTTGTTGGGGTGAGGGTCTGGGTGTAGCTGGTTGGGGCTGAATGGGGTGAGGGTCTGGGGGGCACATCGGGATGGTCCAGGTGCAGGGGAGATGGGGCCAGTTGGGGTGGGGGTTTGATGGGCCTTCTTAACAAGGGAGCCCCAGCGGCAGCTGCTGCCAAGGGGACACCAGATGCTGGGCTCCTGCTTCCTCTATGCCCTTCTCTTCCCCATCCCATCGCCATTCCCTAATGCCTCTTGCCCCATCCCCGCCCCATTCCTCTCCCCACTGTCCCCTCTCTCTATCCCCCTCACACCAATATCCACCTCCCCCACCCTGTCCCACCCCCTTCCTTCCCCACTGCCTCTTCCCCCCACCCCACCAGCCTTTCCCATTTACCCCCGTCACCATTCCTGCCTTCCCCCACCGCAGGCACTCACTGTTGTACAGAAAACAGGATGGTTCCCAGTACACAGAAGGGGAACATGACAAGCACTAGGACTCAGGAGGCGGTGTTCAAACAGCACCCTCCTTCAGCCAGGCAGCTTTGTGCTTGCAGAAATGGGGGGGGGGGGGGGGGAATGGAGAATTGCAGTGGCAGGTGACCCCGTGTGGCTCCCACCTCACCTCTGTTTGGAGGGACAATGCCCTCCCAAACTATGTCCATGGGCATCCCCAGCCCCTCCCCACGTGGCTTCCCTGTCACTTTCTGCAGGGAAGCAAAGAAATCTGCAAGGGGGGGGGGGGGTTTGGAGGAACGACGACATGTTTTCCATATACACGCATTGGCACAGAATTCCTCCGGGGAGTAATCAGTAAGGGACAAGCTCTTCTTCTGTAGAATTTTTCTTTGCAGCTGAAAGGGGGCTAAGGAGGGAAACAAACACCACTGTTGTTTCTGCTTCCATGCTCCCTAGAGAAGCATGGAAAGAATGAGTGATGGTTTGTACAAAAGTTATGTTTGTTATTTGTACCTCCTGTACTCGGAAGGTGGAGCCAAATCCCCTGAGGTTTAGAATTTACTTTGCAAATTATGTCTTATTTTTGTATAGAGGGATTGCTCACCCCAAAAATATGTAGATCAAATAAGAGCATATCTTCTCATTTATTTAGCTGTATCTGGTCAGTAGGTCAGATAATTCAGAAATTTCAGGTGGTATTTTCCTACACTATGAACCAAAATTTATCAGAATTTTTAAAAACAGAAGGCTAAATTCTCTCCACATATCCATCTAAAGGTTATCTTATAGCATTTATTGCCATAGTATCTAGACGCTTCCCAGGTAAATGAGATCTGCATGGCAATGATGCCATTGGGAGGCAGGGCCAGGAGTGGGGCCACAGTCAGGGCTGGGGCCGCAGCTGGGCAATGGGTGGAGCTGGGGCCACAGCTGGGAGTGGGGCCATGGTCAGGGCCTGGAGATGTGGCTGGAGCTGCAGCCAGGCCGGGCCAGAAGCCAGGGGCTGAGGCCGCAGCTGGGGGCAAATCTGGGGCTTGGAGCAGAGCTGTGGCCAGGGGCTGAGGCCACCAGCAGTGGGAGCCATGGCTGGGCCAGCAGCCCAGGCCCAGCTGGGTGTGGGGCCTGGAGTGGGCACCAGAGCCGTAGCCAGAGCAGAGCTTGGCGGTGCTCCTTCCCTGCCCCCCATGGGGGAATGCCTGACCCCACTGTCCCCCCCAAACATTCCTCTATGCCCCGCTAGGGGGTGCACCCACAGTTTGAGGACCATTGATCTAAAAGCTTGGGGTGCAAGTTTTCTAATAGCATAAAACATTCCTTTTCAACCCTAAGTTCTCAAGAATATTGGCTGCTATAATGTCAGAAGTTTAAGTCAAATAGGGTGCCAGGAGAAGCAAGATGATAATCAAAATAATCTGATTTTACAGCACGAGTGTCTATGTTCAGTATTTTTGTTAGTTATCTACAGCTCAACAACTATAGTGGTTTTTTGTTTGTTTGTTTTTTTTTATTAAAGATTCACAATATCCAATTGCCTTCATGCCCAGAAGCCTCAAACTGGATCAAGAACCTCAATGTGCTAGACACCATATCAAGACCCGCAAATCCTGCAAACACTTGTGTGTGAAGTTAACCGTGTACATGAGTTACTGGGCATTCTGCACAAAAAATATAAAAAATTCTGTGCCAAAAAAAAAATTCTGCATACAATACTTTAAAATTCTGCAAATTTTATTTGTCAAAACAACACTACATAATCACACCAGTTTCAATTATTTTGATAATTTATTTCAAAATACCTGTCAGCAAGTCTGTAACAATACAGACAGACACACACGAATTCTCCCAGGAACAGAGATAAAGAAACCCCTATGACAACCCAGATTTCTGTTTCTCTGCCTCCTTCCCCCCAGGAGCCCAGCCAGAGGCCAGAAACATACAACCCCCCCATCTCCCGAGCCAGCCACGGTTGCCCCCCCCAGCCAACCTCTCCTCTGAGATACCCAACACCCCCTCTGAGCCCAGTCACGCGGCCCCACCGGCACAGATACCCACACCATCTCCTCCATGAGCCCAGCCGCGGCCGTCCCCCTTGCCCAGATACCTGCATCCCCTATCCCCAGAGCCCAACACCTGTCCCCCTTTCCCCCAAAGCTCAACCATGGCCCCCCCAGCCCAGACAGACACCCCCAGCCCAGGGATCCAGAGGGAGAAACAGCCTGATGCTTGGCCCCAGGCTTGCATGGAGTTTCTTGCATGCCACCACCTCCCTCTCTCAGGGAGTGCTGGGAATTGCAGCTGCTAGGAACCCTCTAGATCACTCCCCCTCTCCCCAGCAGCATCTTCTGTGTGCAAGCTGGGCTCTGCCGGGTCCAGTGGCCCCTAGTGGCAGCCAGCAGCACTGCAGCCCATCTCTGTGGGGGAAAGGAAATTCTGCATTGCGCAGTGGTGCAGAATTTCCCCAGGAGTAAGAGTAGTTCCAATTCCACTGACTTCAGTTAGATTACTAACATGTGTAAGTGCCTGCAGAATCATGACATGTATCTGACAACCAGCCATAGCTCGTAAAGCTTTTTTTCCAACTGGTACAGCTATTTGTAGTTCCAGTAAGCTTTTCAAAGCACTGGCCCTTGATCAATGATCACCTCCACCCCAAAAGCAGCTGATCCTTGAACTGTATTACTGTTATACACTGCCACTAATCACTGGGTTGGCCATTAATATAACAAGCATAAACAAAAACTTTATATATACTACAGTATTAGTTGGCACCTTGTAATGAAAACACGCACACACACACATATTGCTTTGGTCAAATAAAACAATCACTTAGCTTACTCACTGAACTTTCTTGACTATACCCTGAGAAAACCAAAACATAGTAAAACTGTACATAGAGCTATACACTATCAGATTGTATAAACTTTATTTTAAGAAGTCTAAGTTTATATTAAGCAAATACACACCATTAAAAAATGACATTGGTGCCCTAATAAAGTGAACAAATGACTCATAACTAAAATTTGTAATATTTCAGCTTAAGATTCAGATTTTTTTTTTAAAAAAGGTTCAACAGAGTTCACTGCACAAGGACAAGTTACAGCTTATGGGATGAGTTTGGGAAAAACATTATATGGGAAAAGCTAAACTCATACCAAAGAATGTAAATATTTTCCATTCTGACTTTAAAACTACAGTATAGGAAAGTAGGCTATTTACCAAGACTCATGAAACACACAAAATCATCTAAACCACTCAAAATAAAAAGTACAGTAGAACCTCAGAGTTACGAACACCTCGGGAAAGGAGATTGTTTGTAACTCTGAAATGTTCGCAACTCTGAACAAAATGTTATGGTTGTTCTTTCAAAACTTTAGAACTGAACATTGACTTTATAGAGCTTTGAAACTTTACAATGCAGAAGAAAAAAGCTGCTTTTAAGCACCTTAATTTAAATGAAACAAATACAAAAACAGTTTCCTTACCTTATCAAATATTTTTTTATCTTTTTTTTTTTTTAGTAGTTTGTGTTTAACACAGTACTGTACTGTATTTGCTCTTTTATTGGTCTCCGCTGCTGCCTGATCTCATACTTCTGGTTCCAAATGAGGCATGTGGTTGACTGGTCAGTTCGTAACTCTGAGGTTATACTGTATTAACTTAAATGTTCCTTTAAATTAACTAACATAAAAGTCTTGAGAGTTATCACTTTGTCCCAAATTCAGCAAGGTATTCCAGCACAAGACAGTCCTATTAAGCTAAAAGGAATACTCATATGTTTAGATTTAGGCACGTTACTGAACTGGTCCCGTCTGTTGACTTCATATAGCTGATTCCTGGTTTCAGCTTTGAGATTTCTTTTCGTGATCCAAGGAAGATATACATAGAATCATAGAACTGGAAGGGACCTCAAGAGGTCATCTAGTCCAGTCCCCTGCATCAAGGCAGGACTAAGTATTATCTAGACCATCCCTGACAGGTGTTTGTCTAACCTGCTCTTAAAAATCTCCAATGATGGAGATTCCACAACCTCCCTAGGCAATTTATTCCAGTACTCAACCACCCTGACAGTTAGGAAGTTTTCCCTAATGTCCAACCCAAACCACCCTTGCTGCAATTTAAGCCCATTGCTTCTTGTCCTATCCTCAGACGTTAAGAAAAAAAATTTCTCCCTCCTCCTGGTAACAACCTTTTACATACTTGAAAACTGTTATCATGTCCTCTCTGTCTTCTCTTTTCCAGACTAAACAAGCCCAATTTTTTCAATCTTCCCTTGTAAGTCATGTTTTCTAAACCTTTAATCATTTTTGTTACTCCTCTCTGGACTCTCTCCAATTTGTCCACATCCTTCCTGAAATGTGGTGCCCAGAACTGGACACAATACTCCAGTTGAGGCCTAATCAGCATGGAGTAGAGCAGAAGAATTACTTCTCATGTCTAGTTTAGGACACTCTTGATAATACATCCCAGAAGAATGTTTGCTTTTTTGGCAACAGCATTACAAGGTTGACTCATATTTAGCCTGTGGTCCACTATGACCCCCAGGTCCCTTCCTGCAGTCATTTCCCTTTTGGTATGTGTGCAATGCACTGTTCCTTCCTAAATGGAGTACTTAGAATGAAATTTAATCAGGACAAATGCAATTTACTTCAGACCATTTCTCCAGTTTGTCCAGATCATTTTGAATTTTACTCCTATCCTCCAAAGCACTTGCAACCCCTCCCAGCTTGGTACCATCTGCAAACTTTTTAAGTGTACTCTCTATGCCTTTATATAAATCACTGATGAGGATATTGAATAGAACTGGACCCAGAACTGATCCCTGCAGGACCCCACTCATTACGCCTTTCCAGCATGACTGTGAACCACCGATAACTACTCTCTAGGAATGGTTTTCCAACCAGTTTTGCAACCACCTTATAGTGGCTCCATTTAGTTTGCATTTCCCGAGTTTGTTTATGAGAAGGTCATGCAAGACAGTATCAAAAGCTTTACTAAAGTCAAGATACACCACATCTATGGCTTCCTCCCTATCCACAAGGCTTATTACCCTGTCAAAGAAAGCTATCAGGTTGGCTTGACATGATTTGTTTTTGACAAATCCAAGCTGACTGCCACTTATCACCTTATTATCTTCAAGTTGTTTGCAAATCGATTGCATAATTATTTGCTCTACTGTCTTTCCAGGTACAGAAGTTAAGATGACTGGTCTGTAATTCTCCAGATTGTTCTTATTTCCCTTTTTACAGATTGATATGACAAGAGAATGTATTTATTTACGCAATTATATAATTAAGTAGTAGGGGGCCTCTGTGCATACACACGTCTAACAACCTACAAAGGGCTAGAACATGCCCGAAAACATTAAACATCGACGTTAAAAGCTAGCTTGATTTCTAACCGCCAGTGGCCTGCTCTTTGGGGGTCCCGAGCACCTGCTGCTCCCACGGCCTGCAAGAGAACCTGTGGGTGCTCAGCACCGGCCGGCCGGACCCCCTCCCATGCAGGAGCCTAACACACAGGTGGCGACATTTAACTTTGCACCCACAGAGGCTTGGGAAGATGGCTTACACTGCGCCTAAGGCAGAGCCTGGCACTGGGCTCGGAAGGAGCAGCCCCCCCCCCGGCTTGGTTCCCAAGACACAGACCCACACTCAGACACACCCAGACCCCCCCCCCCCGGCCTCCTCCCCCGGACCTTTGCTGGGACCGGCGCCTTCAGCACAGCCCCGGGCCCCGCCCAGCCACGCGGCGCCCGGGTGCGAGGAGCCACCCCGGGCTGGCGGAGGGGCCCGGAGCCCCGCACCCGGTCCCGCCGCTCAGTGACAGCGCCAGGCCCCGCCCTTCCCGCCCGGGTGCCGCTGCCAGCGCCGGGGCTGCCGGATGCGCCGGGCCGGGGGCTCCAGGCCCGGGGGGACGGGGACGGACTCACCCGCGCACACGGCGCCCAGCAGCACCCAGGCCCCCAGCGCCCACATAGTCCCCGTCCGCAAGGCGCCACTCGGCCTGGGGAAGCCGCGCTGCCTCCGCCTCGCCGCGAACCGCGCCGGCCACGGACCCGCCCGAACTGACGCGCTTCCGCCGCCAGCAGGGCGGGGCCGGCGGGTTTCGCTTTCGGTTACCCCGGGCGGGGGAGGGGGGAATCGGGGCGCGCGCGCGGACGTTCGCGGGGCGGGGTTGGGATCCCGGCGCGGGGGCGCGGAGGTGGGCGGGAGAATCCCAGTGCGAGGAGAGGCGGGGGCGGGGGCGGGGGCGGGGGCGCGTCGGGGCGCGTGCTGCGCGGTTCCATGTGTTTTGTCGGGTCCTGGGCTCGGTTCGGGGTCCTGGACCCTGTGGGGGAGGCGCTATCGTACTTGCAAGACACTGTATTGCCAGCCGCAAGCGTTAAACCCGTGAAGCAGCCCCTTCCCCCGCCAAAGAGAATGGGCTTAACATCACAAGTCAAAATTCACTTGGGGGACCTTTTTATTTGGCATCTGGTGTTTGAGGCCTTCGGCTGAACGCGGGGCACTTTCTAGCTTTTCTCCACACACTCAGAGACCTGAAGTCTTCCTTTTTCTTAAAAAGAGAAGGCTGGGATTCTCCTCGAATAACATGCCTCAACAAACAAGCATGCTCTGCTCAGGCTATGTCTACGCCGCCCACCTTTTAGCGACACAGCTGTGGCCACTACAGCCCTGCCACTAAAAGGTGCGCCGTGGGGCCGCTCTTTGTTGGCGGGAGAGAGCTCTCCTGCCAACCAAAAAACTCCACCCCCAGCGAGAGGCAGCAGCAGCAGCAGCTTTGTGGCCGAGAGAGCTCTCCCGCTGACAAAGCACTGTTCACACCGGCGCTGTTCGTCGGTAAAACTTTTGTCCTTCAGGGGTGTGTGTTATCCTTGCTCCTTATCCTATTCCTTCATCCTCTGAATGCCCTCTCCTCCACCTCGCCTCAGCCCTGCAAAGCCTGTAAGACATCCCCTGTAGCTTGCAAGCGCTGCAGGGGCTCTTGTCATGGAGTCATTCACCAATGTTTTAAAACTAGACGGTCACCCGCTTTGTTGCTCATGCAGGCCGATCTGTGTATGTGTTATCCAACTTTTTAAGTGCAAATAGAGGCCTGGCTGGGGAGGAACTTGTCAGGGGGAGTGGTGAGGGACCCGGTTAGAGGCTAGCCTGAATGGCTGTCAGGAGCCCAGCGAGGGTGCAGGAAAGAGGAGGCAAGGACCCTGCTGGTAAGGGAGGGAGCTGGCTGCAGTGGGATGGGAGGAGTAAGAGACCCAACCGGGGGTGTATAGCTCACCCCACATAAGCAGTGAAGTGCATGGCCCTCTAATAAGTGAATAGGCTGCTGCAGAGAGCAACAGGGAACTTTCTCTGCCTGCAGCACTCTGTAAGCCAGATAGTGGAAATCATGCTTTTCCTGTTTTCTGATTATTACCAGAATCAATAGGCTTCTGCCCATTGATACCTAGAACATTCCCTGATATGCTGGAATTGATTAGCTGCAGTTTGAAAACGTAATTATGAAAAAGTAATTATGCTACATACATACAAATGCCACAGAGTTGAGAGTAGGGCCTCACTTCACTCCACCCACTAATTAAATACCTTAACTGATAAACTTTATTAAATTGGAGTTAAGGTTGTAAATAGGGAGTGTAAGTTAATTGCAAGTTCACAGTTATTTTAAGGGGGGGAAAAAACCTTTATACTGTCATTTTTTTTAAAAACAAAACCTGGAACTTATCCCGGAAAATCATCCTGCAAAAAGAGTTAGGAAGTATGGAATGGCAGAGCTGAATTCATCCAAGCAGCCTTAACTCTGTCCCTGTGTCACCTCCCACAAAACAATTAAAAACAGGAGAGAAAAAACGTGATCTTCAAACATCACTCAACATCATAACCAGTCCTACCTGCTTTAGGATAATACACAGCTGTCAGTAAAACAAATGCTCTGCCACGGGCCTGCTAGGTGACCTTGGGCAAGTCACTTCACTGCCCTGTGCCTCAGTTTCCCCCATCTGTAAAAGGGGGATGATGATAGTAACGTTCTTTGAAAAGCACTTTGAGATCTACTAATGAAATGTGTTACTGAAGAGCTAGATATTATTTTTATTAATTATTATTATTTTATTTTTATTATTGTTGGTGTTGTTTATTTGATGTCTCTTCACCAAAAGTGACCATATCCCGGACTATTTTTCAGGACAATTCCCTCCAAAAGTATATGCCATTTCCAATCTAAAGATGTTCTATCCTGGGCACAGAGAGCTGCAGACTGGTGTTCTGGAACAACATCAGATTTGTGTACAGTTGTATAGTATGCTGCCAGTGAGAGAAAACTGTGTGCGCATTCCCTTTCTGCTGCAGAGTCCAGAGGGGTACAGCTGCAACACACCCACTCATCCCTATTGCCAAGGCAGCATATATAGCACACCCACACCCTGCTGCAAAGCCAGTGTATATAGTACACCCAAAACCCTGCTGCCAATGCACCATATAGAGCACACACTCTTCCAGCTGCCAGGAGGCCTGTTATTGCCTGTGGGAGTGATCCATGCTCTTAGTGTCGGATGTTTATCTGTAAACTACAATAGTAGTCTGTGTTGCTGAATCCCAAGGAAGATGCTGTGTGTACAGCTTCCCTGTGCCATTAAGCTGGGTGTGGATCTGCAACATGCACTACTGCCAGTCTGTACCAGAAGTCTGCAGTACTCCTCCTCCCTTCTAAGTTCTTGGGGCTTGGTATGCAGCATCCTCCTTTTCTGGTGCTGGTGCTTGTGGTTCCTACCACAGAAATGATCTACTGTTGTGCTGTCACTCCCTGCTGCAGGCTGTCAAGCACACTGCTTGTTACCAACAAGGCTGTGTGCCTGTTACCAAGTCCTCTTCCATCATCAGGGCACTGGATGCTAGTGTGACCACTCTCCACCGCTGTTGTCATGGGATACCATGTGCTTATGCTCAATTGGTTCCTGAGGCCCGTGGGGCACATGCAGCAGCAGTTCTCAAATGTGGAGACAGAACTGCACTGTCTATGATTTACATATTTAATGCACGGTTCTATAATAATGGATTAACATACCCATGTATGGTTGTAAAAGTGTACCTTACATACACCCTGCTTAGGAGGCACAATAACTTTCAATAGGCTATCTAATCTAGTCTTGAGTATAGCTACCAGTAGGTACTAATCTGCAATTTCAGATTCTCATTCCCTAGAGTGAAGCTGACCATTATATGTGGTCACATTGGAAATGGGTGGAGATAAGTGTCACAGACACAGAGAACTGTCAAGGAGGCAGCTGACTGCTGTAGCTGGTAGGAAAATTCAGAAGAGTAGCATAAATAGGCCTGCATGCCTGAAGCCTCTTCAAAGGCTACCCGGAATAACAATTTGTCAGACTGACAGGGTATGAGTGCCATTTCATTCAGCGACAAGAGAGCAGCCAGACCTCCATCTGTACACTTGGCATCTCCGCAATACATTAACCATAAACACTGTCAATTAGTAGAACACTCACATTAAAAGCACCATGTCCAGAAGCCATGGCACAGCATTATAATAATAAATAACACTTTGCACTCATCTGTAAATCTCATTGTCCTTTACAAAAGTGGATATCGTTAGCTCCATTTTATTGATTGGGAATCAGAGGCACAGAGAAGTTAAATAATTTGAACAAAGATACATAATGAGCCAATAGCAGAGCTAGGAACAGAACCCAGCTCTCCTGATTTTCAGTCTTCTGAGCTAACCACTGTCCAAGACCTGGGGCTATAGCCTAGCTATGTGACTATGCATCACAGCTCTATAGACTATGACTATAGTCTACAGAAATCTGATGAGGTTCAACAAGGACAAGTGCAGAGTCCTGCACTTAGGACGGAAGAATCCCAGGCACCGCTACAGACTAGGGACCAAATGGCTCGGCAGCAGTTCTGCAGAAAAGGACCTAGGGGTTACAGCGGACGAGAAGCTGGATATGAGTCAACAGTGTGCCCTTGTTGCCAAGAAGGCCGATGGCATTTTGGGATGTATAAGTAGGGGCATTGCCAGCAGATCGAGGGACGTGATCGTTCCCCTCTATTCGACATTGGTGAGGCCTCATCTGGAGTACTGTGTCCCGTTTTCGGCCCCACACTACAAGAAGGATGTGGAAAAATTGGAAAGCATCCAGTGGAGGGCAACAAAAATGATTAGGGGACTGGAACACATGACTTATGAGGAGAGGCTGAGGGAACTGGGATTGTTTAGTCTGCGGAAGAGAAGAATGAGGGGGGATTTGATAGCTGCTTTCAACTACCTGAAAGGGGGTTCCAAAGAGGATGGATCTAGACTGTTCTCAGTGGTAGCAGATGACAGAACAAGGAGTAATGGTCTCTAGTTGCAGTGGAGGAGGTTTAGGTTGGCTATTAGGAAAAGCTTTTTCACTAGGAGGCTGGTGAAATACTGGAATGTATTACCTAGGGAGGTGGTAGAATCTCCTTTCTTTGAGGTTTCTAAGGTCAGGCTTGACAAAGCCCTGGCTGGGATGATTTAGTTGGGGATTGGTCCTGCTTTGAGCAGGGGGTTGGACTAGATGACCTCCTGAGGTCCCTTTTAACCCTGATATTCTATGATTCTATTATTTTGTTTAGTGGAAAACTCAACCCCGCACCCTTATTATTGCTCTCAAACAAAGTTTGAGAACAGACAATTTTTTCTTACTCCTGTATAAGTGATTATAAGACGGGTCGTGTCTTGAGCAAGAGGTGGGTAAATAGGATCAAGGTCAAGACAGAGTATTCATAAATAATTACAGTCACACCATGATTTCCAAAAGAGAAACATTGCGGAGTAGGCAATGCTAACCAGAGATACAGGTTCTGCTTGGGCTTAGACTTGGCCTCTCCTGGTGAGCCCCTCTGTCTGCTAGCCTTGAGAGAGGACAAAGGGATACATCTATTTCAGTTTCAATTGACATATTTCATTAACGTTGACGTTGACATATTTCATTGACGTCTGTAAATATGTGTGCAACTCTGAGCACCAACATATAAAAGGTTCCATGAGCAGGTCAAGCCAGGTTCAAAATCCAACAACATTTCTAGAAGAACAGGTCAAAAATAGAAAAACAATTTGGCAG